AGAGTGCTGTAGTTTTCAGTGGAGAGATCTTTTGTTTCTTTTGTTAGATTGATTCCTAGATACTTCATTTTTTTGGATGCTATTGTAAAAGGAATTTTTTCCCTTATTTCTCTTTCTGTCTGTCTGTTATTTGTGTATAGAAAGGCTATTGATTTTTGGGTTCACCTTGTATGCTAATGTTTCCAGAACTATTGAGAAGAGAAGTGGTGATAGTGGGCATCCTTGTCTAGGAACATATATTTCAAATGGTGCCCAACAACTTTGCTTGATACCAAACTGCCCAAATGTAAAACAGCCATTATCCATGTCCTGCAAAGCAACTGACGTATCAAAAATGCTGTGGCTAATGTTTCCAGAACTATATTGAAGAGAAGTGGTGATAGTGGGCATCCTTGTCTAGGAACATATATTTCAAATGGTGCCCAACAACTTTGCTTGATACCAAACTGCCCAAATGTAAAACAGCCATTATCCATGTCCTGCAAAGCAACTGACAAGTATCAAAAATCTATAGAAACTCATAAAAAATTTTAAAGCAAAATTAAGGGATGTGGGATTCCTGATTTTAAAATTACTACAAAGTTGTAGAGATCAAGACAATGTTACACAGCATTAAGAATCCACAATATATCCGGGGAGCAGAACTGAGGTCTGGCCATGATCACTTAAATTTGCAATGGCTTAGTTTGCTCTGTGTGCAGACTCTTAGTGCTTATTCTTATTCTTCATGCAGTCATTGATTGTTGCAAACTTAGTTTTTGAACTGCTTTTGGTTTGTCCCATAGGCTTTTGTATATTGTGTTTACATTTTTATTTGTCTTGAGAATTTCTTATTTCCTTTTTAATTTCTTCATTGATCTATTGGTTGTTCAGGAGTGTGTTTTTTTTAATTTTTATTGGTACATTTTAGGTATATAATATAATGACATTCGTTACTGGGAATTTGTACCTTTACATAATTTTATCTCGGTTCTTATTTTTCCCCCATTCCCCAGCACTCCCTTCAATCCCACCACCCCTCCCTATTTACAAAGACTTTGTTTCCATTTTTCCCTTTCCTCATATTAATTCCATTCCCTTCTTTCCTTACAGATAATGTGAAATAGAAAAAGAATATATTCTTTAATGTCTATGTATTTGTGCATTTTCCAAAGTTTCCCCTGTTATTGATTTCCATTCCATACCATTTCATTAGAAAATATACTTGATGTAATGTTTATTCTCTTACATTTATTAAGATATATTTTGATCCCTAATATGTAATTTATCATGGAGAATGTTACATAGACAGTTGAAAAGAATGCAGATTCTGCAGCTGTTGAGTGAAATATTGTATATATGTCTGTTACATCTATCTTTTCTAGAGTTTAATTAAGTGCCCTGTTCTTAGTCCTGTTCTGTTAGGTGGCCTTATCTTTGCTCAACATGAGGTGCTTATTTGACTGGTTAGCATATCCAAGACAAGTACATATAAAAGCAGAAAGGACAGCATATTCTGCCTTATTGTAACTTTAGAAAGAAAGCACTGAGTTTTTCTTCACTAAAAATGATATCACTTCTCTATGATGTACTTAATCAAAATGAGGATATTTATTTTTTATCTTAGTTTTCTGTGATATTTTGTCCTGAAAAAGTATTGAATTTTGACACTTTCTATAATCATAGGACTTGTTTGCTCTATCATATTAATTTCTTGAATTGT